AAACACAAAGATGGAGACATAGCTCAGATGCATGACTGATTGCTTAGCATACACATTCTTTGGATGGGCCATGTACATGGAGGTGCACATCTGTAGTTCCAGCACTTAAGACACTGAGTGAAGAATCACAAGTACATTGGCATCCTAGCCTATCCTGTGAATATGAGACTATGCCTGAAAACAAAGAAAAAACAAAAAAGAAATCAACCAGTGTCGAAAGACAGTGTAAAAATTTGCCCTTGAATCCACTCTCTACCCTTAGTTTTTTCCTTTTATTATTATTATTATGATGATTATTATTATTTATTTTATAATACTATTCAGTTCTACATAATAGCCACAGATTCCCTTGTTCTCTCCCTTCCTGCCCCCTCCCCTTCCCCCCAGCACACCTCCCATTCCCTAAGTTGTTTTTTATTGTCAGTATCTTATCATAGCAAGAGAAATGAAACTAGAATAGAGAAAAAATAAATCATCCTATGTAGAAAAATCCCTGCATCAAAATCCAGATCAAGGGTATTGAGAGAGGCAACATCCTTCCCTACTTCCCTCTAATTGTGGAAGTGTGTGGCAGATACCATTAGCTTTGCAGAGGTTTGTGCTGGCTCTTGGGATTTGGGGAATGTCTTCCTTTGGTGATACCTAGACACACAGTGTGCTAAGTTTCCACAGTCAGCAAAGTTTGTAAAGGGTCAAAGTTAAGATTAGGTTGCTGCTGTGGACTCCCATGATTTCATGCCCATTTGGTGGTAGAGGCCACTAGAGGTGGACCATTGAAGGTTATAGCCTGGTCTCATTTCCAGCCAGGATCCCATTCCTGATCCACCAAGATGTGAACAAGATACACTGAAAGTTCCAGCTACACAGACCTTCAAATGAGTCCTCAACTTCAGGCACTGAGCTTGTGATGGGCAACTGATGAATCTTGGCTGGTTGATTTCTAAGAAATGAGATTCTCATATCTAAGTCACTCTACAGGGGGAAGTGACTTGCCCAGGTCACAGAGGCTGTGGGAGACTCAAAGAGAGGAGGAACTTACCATAAAGCCTGACCTTACAGCCAGTGTTCTGTAGACCTTCTAACATCTCAGTAAGCACATTTTCACTGAACATCTGTTGGAATGGTGGAATTGACAGCAGTGACTACTGTCCATACTGGGAAGGATGCGAGGTGGTGGTTGTTGGTTGTGAGCAGTCAATGTGGTACAGTAGCCACAGATGCAGCCAGACTAGTTCTGACAAAACCAAGCATATTTTTATAAGACCCAGCAATCTTGAACCAAGCTGTAGGGTCAAAGATATTGAAAAGCTATGCCTATATAAAAATATCTGCTCAAGGACATGAAGAAAAATTTACATCACTGAGTGAAAGTAACCA